TACCAAGGAATAATGTTTTTATACATCAGATATACAAACAGATAATGATTGTGTTGTTGAAAAGTTGAAAGAGATTTACAATCACCTGTTTATAGTAAAAATAAAACTTTCAACATGTGTGTTTGTTTAATTCAGACGATAGAGTGAACTATAGTATGAATTTTGCACTCTTGTTAATTTTTGTTGAATGTATTCTTTTTGGGGTTTTTTTGTTTGTTTGTTTCATTTTACGCCTTTTCCCAACAGTATTTCAGTCATATAGGCGGGTAGTTTCCTAACCATCGTTCCTGGAGGAATGCATTCTTTAAAGCAGGCCGCCTCCAGATTCATGTTTATTTTCATTAAAATTTTGGAAATGTATCTAAAAGTAAGATATTGTGAGGTAAACCAATATTGCAATCGGCACTTATAATCCACGAAAATTACCCAAAAAATGGTCAAGATATGCAAAACCAGTCCTTACTGCGTTAGTAACGCAGTTTACCTTTCTTAAAATTTTAGTACATTTTTCTGAATATTGATTTTCTTGAAATATTTCGGCTCATCTGGAGGCGTGCAGCTTTAATGTGACACTACATAATCAAGACTAGTATGTAAATGAATATTGCTGACTTAATAAAATAGGTTTTGCAAAAGTAAGTTTTGTTTTTATCTTACTTGCTATCCATGTTGGAAAACATTGCTACATGTGATTATTTGGAGGTTGGTTGGGTCTTATATCGCACATCGCACTGATACTGTAGGAGTATGCCGACTTTTCAGGTTTCCTAATGGAGGAAGACCTAAAGTTGCAGGTGCACCTCTGTGCATTATTTCGTGCTCGACTGGGCGCCTGAATGAAATAATCGACTTCCAATAAGCTAGCTGGATAATTTCTTCAAATGGAATACTCTAAAGTCCTTGTTGGGAGCCCTGACTCGTTATATTACATATTTAATTTACAAGTAATCAACCATTGGTTGAACATCTCGCTTTTAAAACGACTTATCCAGTACAACTACATTTTTCTTCTAAGGACTTAATATCAAATAAGATTTCTAGTACAATCTAACAACCTAAATGCTTCCAAACATGAAACTCGAAATACGAAAATCAATTTAAGATGTATAAATATTTACAGGTTATTCTTTGGAATATGTACAAATTCAATAACAAAATTTCTAGCTTTTCGCTTTCGGAGTAAAGGGTTTGTATTTTTGTTTTTCCGTTTGATAAGGAACCGTATTAAAGATACTTAGTAGCCATGCCCTTAAGGGCACGCCTTTTGACAGCGTCCTTGGTGTCTTAACCAGTAATCGCATTAAAATTGGTTGTAAAGGTCCAAAGAAAATCTCACCGCTGGTAGGATTCGAACACACTACCTCCTGATTAGGAGTCCGATCACTTCCTCCCCACATCCTTCCTATTTATTTTGCTGACTACTTTTTTCATTTAAATTTCACGGTGGATATAGCGACTGAACTTACTAAACCTTTGTCGAATGAGACTTTCAATATGGTTATGATAATCAACAAAAAACAAAATAGTATCCCCGTACTGCCTCTTTCCGATCAGCTAACAGATTTTCAACAATAACTGACAGTGAAATTATACATGTTATAGATAAAATAATTTCTCTTTCAATTCTGCGAATATTATCATTTCAGCTAATAAATGCACCAACTTTTTAAAATTTCACTTCAATTATTACTATGAATCGAGGACAAATCATTACTGACCCATTTTCCAGTTCTTCAAAATTTCACAACCACTTTTCAATCAGTTAACAAAATTAAACTGTACCACATAAAAATTGTCATACAATGTTAAAATATAATTAGTTCTGTATTTTGGAGAAATTTTGACAAACTCAACTTCAGATAAATGGTAATAAACAATTTTAACCTAATTATAATGCCATTTTTCAATCTAGATATCTATTTGCAGTGGTTAAGCTGTCACAATTGGGGTATGGATGTACATTTCAATTTGCATAACAGAAAAAGCATGTTCTTGTGAAATTTTTAGGATCTTAGGTTCTATATGACCCCATTCTAGTGACTCCTTACTGAAAAGTTATCACAGAGAATGTTTTTCCTTGGTTAAGTGACTGTTACTTTACTGATGTATTACCTTCCAATTAAGAACTGTATGGTAAAATATGTACATATTAAAATTACAGCTTTTGAAGTGTAGCAAACATAATGACTTCATGATATTGAAACAGTTGTCCAACTTAATATCCATTTCTGCAGACTGACAAAAAACTTTGTCTGTAAATCAATTATTTTTAGAAAATTATTGCGATTTGTAACTGGGTAAATAAAGGATTAGTGGAAAACACACATTTTACATATTTTGAACTAAAATGCTAGCATTTTCTTTTTTACCGCCATAATTGACATTGCTGCTGATAAATTTAGTCAAGGTGAATACAAGATGTGCTTACAGTTTGGTTACATGACAAATAAGGTCAAAAATAAAAAAAATCGAGGGATGATTGAAAAGTGGTTGTGATTGAAAACTGGCAGTATGTGGATAAGTATGCATTAAATTTTGTAAATTTTTAAGTATTTATTTTTTATAGTTGCTGTTCTATTTTGTTCTAATACCACAGTTTTCTGAAGTAAGTTTCCCGTGTACTGGCTACCGTTGGCGAAGACAATTAATCGTATTCCACATATAGGTTTGTTAATAATAGTCCAAAAGTGTTCTTGTTCGTGACATCAGGATCATTTTGATTTAATAAATAAAGTCTATTTGATTGTATTTTAAGTCGCACCAACACTGTAATAGTCATATGGCGCCTTATGATTAGATAACGTGACTATGATTATCAAAGTGAGTGATAAATATATCTAAACAGGTATTTTTATCGTGTAACTAATAGGATCGCGAACATATTCTAAATTTAATGGAACATGAAGACATAACACTCTTAGTCCTACTACTTTTTGAAAAAAACCTCGTAAATGGGAATATTGTTAATTATTTCTATAGTACATTGCTAAAGAAGTATGATTATCATGCACTTCTTATTGTTATAAATGTCACCACCTTACATGTAATAAGTGTGGATAAAGAATATTGCAAATATGTTCATGTTTCCAATGAAATACTGAATTATTAATTTGTTTAAACTGTTGATGTTAACCTTAATCTTCAAAGTCAGTAAATAAAAGTGGTCCTTTCAAAAACAGGACACAAAAGCCATACGGTTACAAAACGAGCGTTTCTAAGTCAATATGGAGTTAGTGACTAGGAAACAATGATATAATTATGTTTAGCGACCCAATAAATAATGAGGAACAGAAAACCTTGTGAAATAAAAGTTTATTTTGAGTTTTCATCAATCACAACATACAGTCCATGACAAAAATGTTAAAACAAATATTTTAAGAAAAAAGTCTAAATCAAACAAATAGTTCACCGTAAATATATACTGAGAGTGTGATTAAGGTAAATCAGTCCTACACATTTACTTGCTGAATTTCAGTAAGGGCTTATCAGCTAATAAATCACTATTAACTGTGTATCTCCCTAATGTTAATCACACACGTTGAGTTGAGAGTCTTGTCATCACTAATTGGCCCTTTGTACTCGTATCTTATGGCCCTAAAGTTGAAAAATCAATTTTCTATAGATGCAGCGCTCCATTAGATACACACACTTATATCAAAATGATAACATGCAATGTTATAATTAAATGCTCATCACTGGCCAGAGATAGGAATTGTTTGGGAAAACTGGAAACCTTGGGTAAATGCGTAGGACTGAAATGATAATTTAGGTTCCACACGTATGTCATTATGTTCATAATTTCTCCGCTTATTACAGATTACCACTTTTTTAGTTATAAACACATATGTAGCTGTTGGGCTGTGGGGGATTGCTATGATGTTTAGTAATATTATTGACTAAATGAAAAGAAATAATATAAATTACAAAAAAATCAATAAGGTTGACATTGTTCCCTCATTTTAATGATCCATATAAAAATGTTAATGAATAAAAAGAAAACATTTTCTTGGTAAATGTACAAAATCTTTTCCCAACACTAAAGTTTAACATCAGTATCTGAACGATTAAAACAAAAACGACAGCATAAAAATAAAGGTTTCGTCCGACAAAATTATCTTACCAGGTAAAATCTAACTAGGTTGCTTTATTTCGAGTAATCATTTCAAATACCGATCAATTAAACCGTGTATGTACAGAAACTTGAACCTTGAATTTATATTAAGAGGTTGTCACAATAAAAATATGAATATATATGATACGATAACTTGTAATAGTATCAACACTAAATGAATATTGGTCCATTATGTTACAAATTACAACACGAGTCAAATCAATACGGTCCTCACAAAATTATTATTAAAGATTCATCCTTTTCGAAAGGAAAGAAACAGTAAAATACATGACTACAACACAATAAAAAACAGGCTTTTTAGATAAAGCTAAAAATATGATTTATGAAGTTAGAGTAATATGTTCAATGACAAAACAAAATGAATAGACCCCATAAAAATAAAACTTAAATAAACTCGTTAATTGGATAAAGTGTATGTGATATAATAATATATGAAGTGAGACAAATTAGATAACAGAAAAAAGTATCACGATATTGTTTACACATACTCCCATTTTGAAGATAAATCTGAATATTATTGAAACTATTGCTGATTTAAAAAGTCAAGCAGAGCTTTGTTTTCCAGTGTATGATAAGTTTAAGGTGCATAATAATATTATAATAAGTATGCAAATGTTTGTTAAACTTTGAGCGCGTACATAGAATTATATCTTAGATAAAACGTCTGTTTAATTCAAAGGTACCTGGTGTTAAACTCTCTGGATGCTTTCAGTATTCAGAATACGTAAGTCACCGGTATAATGTTAGGTCATCCTGCAGCTGACCGGAGTATGTCTTTTTTTCTTACATGCTGGATTTATTTATCAAAATCACAAACAAAAAGCAACAAATAGTTAGTAAGTATCATTAATGTATGTTACACAAATCTAAATCATAAACGTTATAAGAAAGCAAATAAATTCTTTCTTGAATGATATATATGCATGTTTTGTAACTGCATTCAGTTTCGATGATCGAACATGCACTATTGTTCATTGTTCACTGCCAACCATTCTTCATTTGAAATTTCTGAAAGGAAATGATATTACATAACAATACTAATTGATTTTTGAACTACTTTACAAGTAATTTCGTGGCTCTATATCTTACGCTATAACTAAATGTGTATTTACTATATTTTTCTATTTTCCTCTAATCAGTCAACATTGTTTCATGTGTTACTGTCATTTTGAATATGTTTCGCTCTAGCACTGCACTGGTGCATTTTTCATAATTTAAAGACGTTTTCGTTAATCTTGGCAACGGATCATTTAAGGCTTAAACATGAGAACAAATCAATTAAGAAAATAAATTTCTCTGAAAAAGTAGCAATTTGAGACAAATATTTGAAAGTAAACAATTACGAGGGAAGATCAAAGAATGCAGCTAAAGTTGCTTAATGCTATAGAGTTAATGGGGTTTTTTTACGAACTTTCTTAGTTTTTTCTTTCCTTATTTAGGCTAACATATCATGAGTGTGACTGTATTTAGATTTACACACAAAACAATACTTAAAAATTAATATTTTCTGCTAAATTTAAAACCTTCCTGCAGAGTTTGTTATCCGATGTTAAAGAAATGATATAAAAATTGACTTAAGATTTTGTGAGATCTAGAAAAGGAACAATCCCTTTAGAGCACTAAAGACAAAACGACAGCGTACACGACTATTCTGTACTTGATAGTAAAACAAGAGCCGGATTAAAGTAGAATTTTCTGACTTAAAAAAAATGGCCATAATTCTTTGAAAATTACCTCAAATTACCCCCTTAAATAAGTGCGTAAAGTTTCAGCTCATACGGTAAATTAGAAGATAACGACTTGCACGCAAAAACTTAAAGTGTGACGCCGACCCGGTATATACATATAAAAGAGTTCTCATTACTGTTCAAAACGTCAAACTTAATACACTGTTTAATTATATTGATGGTACTGATAATATTGGAGTACCAGACATAATACAGTAGGGAAACTGTTTAAAGTTTCAGAATGTTGTATAGGTCTCTTACCTCTCCTCTCCAAGTTATACGCTGTCTGTGTATTAGTATCCCTAGCTTGTAGGTTCTGAATAGAAATTCTTAACCTAAAACAAATAAAGAAAGCTTACACCAAACCATAAGACCATTGAACTGACCTCGTTTATAAAAGATAATTATATAGCTTCAGCAATGATAAGCATAAATCACAGTTATCTTAAGAAGTGTGTTTCTCGGGTCTATAGAAAAGAAGTATTCTTAATCTGTATAAAGTAATTTGAATACATATCAAGACATCTCAATTTGAGACTTGACATTTGTGCTGGTCCATGAATCTTATCAAGGTAAAGAATATACTTCATGTAATCTTAAACAGGGCCAATTATTTCAGCCATTAACATTCATTTTCAGCATTGTGACAGCGATGCTAAAGATGACGCCAAGGTGAGTACAATAGCTCTCCCTATTCTTTATATAGTCGTGCTTAAATGATTATCTATTTGGTTAAAATACAAGTCTACTAAACAAAATATTATTTATAAGGAATATTTCTTTGACAACAATACATTTTTAATTAGAATATTAAAATATCTCACGACTGCGTATCCATTTTTACAAGGAACGTTCCAGTATGTTTTGACTTATACATCTCTTCAATGCTGTCATTGACAGTTTTAGGTAATCTTTTCCACTGTTCACCGTCTTCCGCTTCCGATATATACCAGGCAAAATGCATCCCTGTAAATAGACAATTAATGTCCATCCAGACAATTGAACCTCGTCAATGAAAAAATTATGTTCATATTGAAATTAAAACATTTAACAAATATCTATAGACAGATTGGGATGAAAACCTTTATATACATATTATCAAGAAATTTAATATTATAATTAACTTGATATATTTCGTATGTGGTATGCAGTAGTGTGACATTAACTTTAGAAGTGAAAGGAAGAAATTCAGTAAGGAATATCAAGTAAACTATAATATGCACTGGGATGAAAATAGAAAAAAAATCTTTATTGTGTGTGAAAAAGTATAATGGTTATTTGATTTAAAAGGTAATACTTACCACTGCGGGATGTGCTGAAAAAGGTTGTACAAAATAGGCATATCATTTTCTTTTCACATTTATTTTAGTTTTAAATTTAGTAATATCACTGACGATCATATTTAAGTATCTTGTTGTTTTAGACTTATATTTCAAGTTGAGCGTAAGGCACGAATGTCCGTCTTTTGTTTACTTTGACAAATTAGTAATAATAATATAAAAGTATAGTTAAATGGCATATATAACGAAAAGATGAAATGGAGAAATATGCACATATGTTATCGTTGGTTTTAATGTATGTTCATATGTTTGCTTAATCACCTATTTAAACAATTGAACTTAATTAAGTAGTTAGTTAACAATGTAAAAACGTACCATAGTGTTAGGTCAAACTTTTTGTTATAGCCATACCGGTAATTTCCTAGACCGCCATGCGACCAGATAACCTAAACACGAATATAAAATCAACTATAAGTTTGCCTTTTTAATGAATGATATCATTTAGGTTTTACAGAGAGATTAGTATAATTGAATTGAGCCCTTAGATCGAGAGAGTTTCATATAAGCTTTAAGCTTTCTACTCAATCCTGTATGCAACTTATGCATTGAAATTTTGTTTGAAAATATGGAAGAATAAAAAATAAATTTTGTTTAAACCAAACAATAACATGCAGGCTTGACTTGACAAGATCATGTTAATAAAGAAAAATAGTATAGTTAAATTTGCTATTCTGGTGGTTTCTTTTGCTCTTGTTGTTTGCCTAAAACAGTATCCATATATGTTTACAGAGCAATACAAATTGTTGATTTTGGAACATGTATTATAGAGGCAAACATTTAGATGACTTTTGTTAAATATCACTCGAATGTAGAAGTTAGTGTAAAACCGTACTGCGCAAACAAATTTAAATTTCTCAGCTATGAACCTACACTTTCTTTCAAAAAAGCATGATACAAAGTTTCTTTTCGATATTTTATTTCTAGCATTGTATATAGTCATATTCTTTACATTCCCTTCAATATAACACAAAGTTTCCTACATGGACTACGGGGCCATCTATTTTCGTCACAACGCCAACATTTCCTTCTCCCCCATCTTGGTCCTTCCATCGCCAATCTTTACCTGATTAAGATATCATATGTTTAATTATCATATACAAACAATTTGTATAACATGTTCCCTGCCACCCACTTATCAAACCAAGTTTTCCTGGTGTATATAATTACAAATGTAATAGTAATATATTTTACGCATCTACTTATAAAACATATACATGTATTTTATATACTGTCAGATACTTGCAACACATGAAACATTTAACAACCGCAGTTATACATTATAAGTTAAACACTTGTACATTACCTCTGACAACAATAGATCCAATTTTTAGCTCACTGCTGTCAATACTTTGGTCCTTGGACATGAGAACGTCATACTGACCGTTTATTCCAAACTTGCATCTTTCGATTGAACCATCTGACCATAAAACTTTCAACAAACCTAAAATTGAACAACGATTTTTTGGTTTCCTTTATCAAAAACATGTGTCCCCTTTGTGTATATGTTGTTGTTTTTCAGTCCTCATTTAAGTCATACTTACACAGATACTATTTTGCATTTAACTTCAAATTATTGATTGTCAACCTGCAGTTTACATGTTTTGTTTTATTTTAACTAACTGATGACAGATCTATAGTTATCATAGCTTGGCGGGGACAATTGTGACACTATCCGCTTTTATAAAAGTTAATCTAATACAGTTAACATTTTTAAGTAACGTATTCGTTAAAGGAAACACTTTTATTGTATTCCCATAATGAGAACTATCATGAAATCAAAACATATCATTAATTTACCTTTCCTTCGGGGACCAACAACCGTGCCAGTAAAATTTTGTCTGGTAGCATGGCCAATCCATTCAGGATTCGATACGACTGCAGAACCGAACGAAGGCGATTTAACATCGTCTGACATATCAATTGATTCGGGTGGTACAGAATCCGGTTGTCCATCACGGTCTGTTATAGGTACATGTTCACTCTTGTCTGTGGCAGCTGACAATTTATTGAATATTTTAAAGCAAATGTAAACGAATAACAAATAAAGGAAGGGGCATGTGACACAATCTCATTTTTCCTCTTTTTCTTATGGTATGTTACTTTCAAGATTCACTTAACCGCCAAAACAACCCAGTGACATTTGAATAATTCCTAATTCTGTGTAAATAACGGGTTCATGTGCTACCTTAATCGTTCGATTTTTTACAAAATTTCTAAAGAGATAGAAAAATAAAACTTTTGAAAAGATTCGTGTTAAACGATTTCAATGAAATATTGTTACCATTTACAATCTACTCCAATCAGCTCATCTGCTAAAAAGCAATGCCTTTGCAGTTATTTACCATATGACTGCACTTCTATAAAACAGACATCATCAAAATACCATCAGAGAACAAATTATTTAATAGAACCGATATGGATTTAAAATGAAGATGCAGAAACATAATAAAAATGAGCCGCGTCACAACAAAACCAACATAATGGGTTTGCAACCAGCATGGATCCAGACCAGCCTGCGCATCCGCGCAGTCTGATCATGATCCATGCTGTTTGCTGTCAGTTTCTCTACTTGTTAAGGGTTTGTAAGCGAACCACAAGAATCCTGGATCCATGCTGGCCGCAAACCCATGATGTTGGTTTTATCATGACGCGGCTCATATATTAAAATTGGGAGAGGAGTACAACAACTGAAATGTGAAATAAGTCTGTATATGGTCAAACTTACTAGGCGTTTCCTGACCGACTTTACTGGTTTCATCTTTTTTTGCAGGCTGTTGATCATTAGCCGGTAAACTAGCTGATATAATTAGTCTTAGATCCTCCTGCAATCAAATATCAACTTGTTATCCTCTGTCGTTGAATTTCAGGTTAATGTTTACTAACGGATTGCAATTTTCATATAATTAAATAATGTTTAGGTCACTGCTTTTTCATCACACATTTTCTAGTTTCTTGCAACTGATTCTAGTTCAATACAATTCGTATCTCTAAGAAAACTTTAACATCTAAATATGTAAATGCATTATGTGCTCATTGAAACTGGCGCAAGATTTTATGAATGTAGAAATAATTTCAACTTGTTATACAAACATATTAATATATGTATTCATTTGGCTAAAAGTATTTGCAAATGTTAATTATCTTGTATAATCTGGACATTTTGTTTCTTAGAGAAATGAACATCACATAGATAAGTAATGTTACTTGAAAGTACTAAATAGAACGATTTGAATATGTTTTAATGTTATATTGAAATCAATAAAGTTGTATCAACATAATCAAAAGATCATTACCTTTCCTTTATCGTTCAACTTGCTGTTTTCTATAGCCTCATCTATTTTAGCTCGGTCCATCTCAGCACTGTTTACTTGCTTTATAATTGTATTGGCTTTCTCCTATTAAAAATAATGAAATGAACAATTGTTATCTTGTCGGATAAAATCAAAAAAAAATAATCAAACTGTATTCTTGCATGGAATTTGCGACGGCTGGTATACATTAACGGGGAAGTCAACATATATTAACGGAAAGATTCTCGTGTTCGCGCGTCGTGTAGTTTTTCTGGACCACTTTAGTATGTGGAAAGGAGAGCAAAAAGTTTTTATACGATACACAGATACGGAACGCGTAATTACCGAAAAAGACTGCATTGTATGTAATAATGGAGCTAATGAACCTTCTTCCTTGCAATTACATCTGCAGAAGCACTAGTCACAATCGCTCGAACTGCGGACTTGAGCTTTAAATACGTCTTCGTGCTTCTGCAGATGTTAATACACAAAAAGGGTGCATTAACCCTTTATTGATTAATGTTTATACAACAAACATAGATTTGATAAAATGTTCGCAGAGGTAGAGGAACAGCTGTTCTGTTTCATTAAATTAGTCTGCTAAAATTAGCCTTTTGTTAAATTGTCTGCATCCATTCATAAACGCATAAGAAAGTTGACTTCAATTTGTTTAACAATTAGGAAAAGTAATATTTAAGATTATTCATGCATACATGGTTGACTGATTGTATCATAACATGAAATAATACATATAATTCTAATGTTAATTGTACAATGATCCCAATCAATTGCCTGTGTGCATAATAGCTCTCACTTGAAATAAGAAGCATATTTAGCTTGAATGAAAAATGGTGAACTTACTTGAATTTTGAAAAAATCTGTAATGGACTCTGTATTATCCGCCGTGTACATGCGTCCATTAGTAAGCCCCTTCAGAAATTCCTGAAACAATTGAATTGTGTAATCTTTGAATTGGTAAACAATCGTCTGGATAGCATTAACAAATTATTTATGTACATGTATATCATCATACAGAACTAATAGTGCAACAATCAGACGTTTGTTTTAACGTCACACCGACACAGTAGACGTTCCAGCTTTACTGGTGGAGGAAGGCCTCATCATACGTTTGTATAATAAAGATATTAATGTGTTTAATACAGTTGTTCACTTTGTTTATTAGATAGGGTAATATGACCTTATATAAAGCCACTTAGCGAATGGTATATTGCAAACAACTATTCAAATACGGTCATATAGCTTGCCAACAATTTTTATAACGAATTTATATTACAGCAAAAATTACTTTCATCTTGAAAGAAAAAGAAAATTCCTTCATTAATTTGACAGAAGACGTGAACATAGTTCCGAAACGAGCAGTATTCTAATGATATTCACCTCATGACATTTCCCGGGTATAATACATTCCAAGTAACTTGTAAATGACGGGCAGGTATTCATCAAAGAGAACATTTCCCCAATTACCTGAAAATATGCGTAATAAAGTACAAATTCTATAACATATAATTAATTATATATAGATATATAACTGATGCCTTTAGCTAAATAACTGTTTTAATAAACACAAATAATTACAAATACTTGTATGAAAGAACTATATAACGTTAAATTCACGAATCATTGCCTACTTATATCAGCATAATATTTTGCCCCGGAGAATATTTATTCTGTTAACGTACTATTTGAATAAGTTTTAAATATCAACGACATTCTTTGTTACAACCCTTTTGAGAAGCGACCATAATATTATGAAAACAACATCATCGTACCATTTATAAGTTTATGTGTGCAATAACACTGGCATTAGCTTTTGGTCTTTTCATGCCAATTTTCCAGGTCTTATTCAAATACAAAATCCCGTATCTTTATTACCGTAACATATATGGCAATTACAAATTATTTAAGATAACATTGAGTGACATTGCATCTTTAGTATAATCTCGGTATTAGAAAATGATAATAATATGAAAATGAAATGCAGAATTTAACGTGTATCGATAGTATTAAAACACCTGCTCATCAACTGCACCATTATCGTCACCATTTAGAAGATTTTTTCGTGAGGCATATCCATCCGTGATCAGAATAATTCTTGGAAGTACCGACATCGGTTCCATTATACAAGCGCCACCTAGACAAAAACAGAATGACAATCTTATGCTTAACTAAAGTATGTGCCAAAGATTGGCAATTGTCACTGAACTCGAAATCAATGTTATTCACCTTTTTCGTCTTATCGCAATGTTTATCCCAGAGAAATAATGATTTTGCAGTTAATTTATGCAGTTGCATGCACTTGTTCATCTTATGAATAGATCTTACAACAAGGGTCTGTTAATTAATATTATTACCCTGGAGTTTCTACCAGATCAATAAGCTTATACAATGAACCTTTGGAAAGCGTACATCTGTAGAGCGACAAACCTCATTACAACAACAATAACAAGTAAGACATCAACATGACACCTTTTCAAAGCTTTCAGCAACAATCAAAGTCTTTGACAGCAAACGGCTATTGCTTTGTAAAAGTTGTTCTGCCTACAACATTTTTCATTTGCAATATAAAGATATGGATAATGGTTTTCAATGTATTTTTAATTGTACAGTGTGAATGGCGAATACAGATACTCGAAAACTTACCCCTTTCCTTAATTTCAGCCAGAGATAGTGCAAGTCCAAGCCAAAGCGGTGAAGGCCCTCCCGCCTTTATATCATCTGTAAAATATCGAAGACCCTTTATTATCTTCTTTTCAATTTAATTTTGTTAATAACTAAATTGAGGTAAAAACACTTTACATTATTAATGGGTATATAATTGATTGTAATCCGTATAAACGTATAATTTGTATATAATATGATTGTCAAAAATTACAATATTAATATATCTTCATTTGAGCATTATATATATGTTATAAAACCATAAAAATTGAGTTACAGGATCTTTAATCTGTAAAATTATGAACATTACTAGTGTAAAATTTATTACATAACACTACATTTTCTATATGGACCTGTCAAATCAACTCTGACTGAACAGTAATAAATTCAGTTATAAATGTCAAAGTCAAGTATTACATAAAGTAATAATTAAAAACAATATGAAATAGTTTAAGATTTAAAGTTCACATTTAATACTTTATTGCATAATGTCATCTAAAATGAGCTGTTTAGCTTCAACCACGAACTTTGAAAGTCTTACCAAGTCCTTCTCTTATCAAACCATAGTCATTCGTTAAATGATGACGTATTCTATTTTCGTTTCCAAACGTTACTATGGCAACATTTTCTTCCAAATTATGGTAGATGGCATTTGTTTCGAAACCTACAAAACATATAAGGTTTAATATGACGTAAACTTGAATTACTTTTCATTTTGCATATTTAAGGTCTTCATCAACATATTCGTTTATAATGGTCAACTAACACTTTCTTTGCGAAATTAAATATTTTCATATATGACTGAATTTATAATTTCCTTATTTTCTTTGAACAAACCGTGGCCGAGTGGTTAACGCGTCGGACTAGTAATCTAAGGATTGCTGACCGCGTGGGTTCAAACCCTTTCAGGGGCAAGCCGCTGTTTACTTGAGCAAGATACTTTACATTCATTGCTTAGTACTGGTTGGTTCCAGGAACGGATTTGAGAGTGTTTCAATAACCTCATAGCTTCCAACACAATTGAACTAAAATAAATGTGTATAAACCAAGCCGCAAAAAGTTTAAAAGTTTAGGGAAATACTATTATAACTACATCGGTATTGTTATTTTTATTTGCTTAATTGTTCCTTCTTTAGGTAATCTAGCGTTTCACATGTGTTTTTTTAGAGGGAATAAATTGTGTGTCTAGTGCCTGTGGAGGGGGTCTGCGTGTGTTGTTATTTCTTTCTTTTTTCGTGTTGTTAATGTTGTTACTAGCATACAAGTATTGTAATACGATATAGTTAAATTTCAGATCAGTTATCAATTTACATATTTAAATAATCATTTTAAAACTACATAAATGCAAAAATGATCTTTATAAGAGTTTGAAAAAAGGACGAATAATATTAAACTTAATAAAATAAACGGTTTATAATTAAGAAGAATATGTCGAAAAGCAGAATATCCACGATGTATCTTTTTTCAACTTATACCACTAACCATTTTAGAGTGCGGTTTGAAAGTCATGCTAATGTGGTTTCTTTGAAACGGAAATACATGTGTATTGCAAAAGTGTATTAAATAAAAGAAATAAAAGGTTACCATCTAGTATTTTTCCAATACAATCAATTGCTGTTGTAAGTGGTTTGCCAGCCATACTAGAAGAAGTGTCCAAACAAATTACAGTGTCGATGCCAGTTGATTTCATATCGGAGCATTCATTAGCTGTAAAAATAATTAATTCTCTAGGCAATTAATGATATTTAATGATATTCATTTATATTTCTATAATTCCGAAATTTAACAAATATATTGAAAAAAAATCCAATACAAAATAAAAGGAAACGCAGTAAAAGCAGTGTTCAAGACTAAATGTAAGATTAAAACGAAGTTCTTATTGCAGTTTTACAGTTTCATCAAATGTGTCAATGCTTGTGTTGTCAAAGTAAACTATTTCATTAAGTTTGATTGTGTTTCTGTTAGCAATTACTAGTAGTTGTTCATGTCTATTATACTATCTATCTTGCTACCTACTTTGCTGTTATATTCAACTCATTGTGGGGACATAAACATGTGTTGAAAACAGTATTGATAAATTTGAAACATCAAGCATATTACTTCGTCTCTGTCTTCAAAATATGCATAATGAATCTTTAATCCTTCAAGATTATTTAGTCTATAAATATTTTATTCCATGGCTTTACCTGATAGTCTTTCCTTTTCAATTAGCGAATACAAAACTTCGTCAGGCACAAGCTCTGTTGGAAAAAACATAAACAACAATAAACATTTACGTATTTTAGGATTTTGTACTTAAGGTAAATAGTAAATCTAAACAACAAACAAACAAAATCTAAACAACTTTCATACTAATATAAACTGAGCTATCTAGAAAGTTATCTAAACTGGATTATTTCTGAAATTGAATCCTAGAATAAAACCTTTATATTAATATACGAATATCTTGTCGTCCTTATCCTAGAAATGTTCAATGTCTGTTTTCATAATATGTGAAAAAATCAGATACTAGGTCCTTTTTGTAATATATGTACAATATATATAACAGGTCCTGAAGCCTCCGTGGCAGAGTGATAAAAATCACCAACGTCTGACTACTTAACGCTCACAGCGTTGAGTTCGAATCCTTTCGGGGACTTTGAATTTCTTCATGTGAGAAGAAAACCCGGGTAGCTTTCAGAATAGGGATGGTTTTACTCTTGTGCTCTCCTTTACGGTGTGTGTGCATTTAAATCTAAGAAAACAAACAAAACATATACCAGGCCCTGATTGCGTCAGTTCCTGGCGACTTGTTTTCTCTTTTGCGTCTGCACCACTCTTTCTCGGTATGTCCCGGCGGGATGTGTCATCACCTCTAGCCCCTGAATGTCTTGGTCCGTTCTTCACCAGCTTCAGATTTGATAAATCACATGCTCGCCGTACCATAGGCAGCATATCTTCATGGGCAGCGGCATTGAACCTGAAAATTGTATAAACCAGAAATGGTTTAGTATCAATTGAATGCTGAAAATCAAAAATATTCGGCGACTGTTATAGTGCGTTAATTGGTATTCAAACTTTTCTTCCAAATGTATTATCATAGATTTTAACTATGTGGTTGTAACACGTTTATATCCGAAAAATTTGTATTTGTATTTGATTACAACTTAATTGCATGTAATAAGAATGGGTAACATTGAAAAATTAGATTACAATCTTCTTTGTCCTATATACTCTCTATTCCTCTCTCAATTTTTAATCATATTGTTCTGTTTGTTTAAACGAAAATATCAAATGAAGGCCATAAACGAAGGCGAAATAATTCATCGTATTACCACTCCAACGTACATGACCCGTTAAATGCGTTCAAACCAAAGGAATTAATTTCCGTTATAAAAAAGGCTACGTAACAAATTATTGAAATCAAGATAGATTGACATGCCAGACCTTCAAATATAACGTTATACTACATTATGACGTAACGACTCTATATATACATACAATGTGGAACAAGGTAAATATATCTATCTAGGATTTCATTAGGCAAACAGTTTTGATATGAAATAATGTTTGGTTAAAAGTACTGTTGGTTGAAAGTATGTCGTATATCAGTGGGTTTTGTTGCGAGTATCTAATTTTATGATTTATGTCACCTGTTGTCGTCATCGCCGTGCTCATTGTTAAAACCTGAAGCCGGTAGCTGGTGATTGTTGCTTGCTGTTACCAAACCACTCCCTCTTCCATCAGCCGTATTGCTCCCAGGAAGAGCTGCATTATTCTTGGAAACAGTTTTAGCAACTTTAGCCGGTTCATTAACAATTGCAGACTGAACAACTTTTTTGTTGATAACAGGATCAACCTCGACCGTGTCTTTCGTTGACGATGTGCTGTGATCTTAATGAATAGAATAATACAAACATAAACTCAAAAGTGGTTGATGATGAAACGAGTACTTATTTAAGCGACCTCCAGCTTTTATTTAATATTGGGAAAACAATTCTGTGTTGTTTCGAAAAAGTTCATCATATCACTCAAAAAAAGCAAGAGCTATTTATAACGGGTCAATAGCGTTCCATTCTTTTGATTTGACATTTAAATGAAACAATGTACCAAAAAATATATATTTAATCGTTTGAAAAGCTGAAGGCCGCCTAATTCAAATCAGACATTTGGGGTGTTGAGCTTAAAACGACATTAAAATCCAAATAAAATGTTTATTTGTCAATCCCAGGACATGTACTGATCATATATATATAAACAAACTTAATACATGTATAAGCCGTTTTGAAAAAAATCATATTGCAAAGTCTATAACAATAGACGTTGAAATATGTTTTTTTTTCAAAACGGCTTATATTAAAATTTTATATATATACATGTATATGATCAGTATATGTGCTGGGATTGACAAATATACATTTTATTTGGATTTTAAAGTCGTTTTAAGCTCCACACCCCAAGTGCCTGTGCTTAAAATTCAGACCATTGAACCTATGGAAGTTGTTTTATAAGTTGGTTTAAATGAGTGTATGATCATAAATCATGATTATAACATTTTTAAAGAAGTTTATTAATATTTAAAGTAACAGGACAGATAAGTTTAAATGGGCGAACACATTACAGATTTAAAAAATGTCAAACATTTAAAAAGCAATCATGCGCTTAGTAGACTGTTACACACATATAATGAAGCAATTATTTAAAATGAAACAGATTGTTATCTAAAGCAATAAAGGTACACAAGTCAACACAAACAGTGTTAATTTCCGGCAGTTACAAATCTTTCATGTAAACAAAAAGCCTTACCTGTACCATTTTCCGTGATGTTTAATGCGTCCTTCAGATACATTGTTCTGTTGTCCTGGCAAAATTCTGTTTTAGATTTCTTGAAATTCGCATATGGTACATTGACTTTAGTAGCAGATGTAGGAATTGGGCTTTTCGGGCGCATAGGTGCTTCTTTCATTCCAAAATTAAATGAACGATGTTTTGTTCTGCCTTCCATTCGACCGGAAAAAGACTGCGCTGGTGAATTTGTTTCCATAGAGTTTATACCATTTCCACATTCACGTTCATCATTTAGAATGATTTCAGCCTCTGTATTTTTATGTGTCTGAATTACGTCGGTATTGGCTTTATCATTTGAGTTTTGAACTGACTTTATCTTAAGATCTGTTTGCAAGTTACTTTCTTCATCAAATTCATCGTCACTTGCTTCAGGCGACTTGGCTTCATCTTCCTTTGCGATTTCGTCTGTGTAACCATTGGTTTTTAAATAAGGTGAAAGTTCCTGTTCCTCAGAAGACTGGTTGTAAGGCAGAGTATTCTCTGTACTATTATATCCTTCATTTAAGATTGGATCTTTACTTCCTTTCCGAACTGATTCATTAGTTTCATCCTCTGTATCATTCCTCGTACTAAAATCAGACTGTTCCTGGTTTGCTGGATATTTCATTTCAGTTTCCTTATGTTGTGTTTTTCTTTTTGGTACACGACTTTCATCCGAAACTCTTTCGTTTCGATCTATTTCTTTGTCATGACTGTTATTGTCAGGTGAATACATGTAATTGTTGCCGTCATTTCTAGAATAAAATCTTTCATTCTCTCTACGATACGTTGGTGGAAGAGTTTGATATTTTAAAGCAGGCCTTTCAGATACAAACATGTTATTACCTGTATTCTTCTCCACCATAAGTATCAAGTTATCGACTTTTTCAGATAATGCATCGACCTTTCTTCCAATACTTGAAACCTATCAATTATAATAACAATAACGTTTATCTAATTAAATAATTAATGTAAACAACATAAATGTAATAGAAAAAGAATGATAAAAAAAGAAAATTTCTAAAATCATTTGCATTGTTATTATCAACCACGTGCACATATTGAAACATTAGAGATATTCCAAAAATTTAGAGTGTTTTCGATTTATCTAAAATCTATTAATTACCGATACAATACAGAAATTTTCATTGGTTTATCTGATGGGTCATTCTTTAGGTATTTGTATTTTTCGGGTCACTGATTTAGTTTATTCCTACGCGTTGTTATAAAATCGGTCATCTTTTCGCGGTTTTTTACAGTTCTTTTGATACAGATCTTTTTTGCGCAAAATTCAAACATTCCATATATCTTTTTTTAAAAGCATCGATCTTTTTCAATAGCAGATTTAATATTAGTAGCATGTAAAATCAAGAAAGGCGTATGGGGATTTCGATTTGGCCACCAACCTTATAATCCCGTTTAATGAATACTTAATCAATTTGCAAATGGTCTTTAAAATTTTACAAGTCTAACACAATGTGATGTAGTCATTGCCGAATGCATGTAGTAGACGATATTTCGAACGATTCGGAACGAATAGGCTGAACTTCAGTTATTGATTTGTCTTACTATATAATTTAAAGTTTACCGGAATTTCAACATCATTATACAAATTCTGACCTGCCGAACGTATAAATCATAGGCAGACTGAATTAATGGTGGTGGTATATTGAATTTATCAGAGCACAGGTTAGCCATCGCTTCTGGGCAAGCTATCAAACAGTTTACCAGTACTAGTTGCCTTCCTTTTCGCAAGGAATTGATTACTTCTGTACATGCCAGAGCAGAGGTACAGTGTGGATGACCGTAGAAAGGATTTCATAATCAAGCACAACGAAAGTGACTTGCACCGTCTGGGAATCGAACCGATTCACAGTCAAACACTCTACATATTGAGCTAACCGGACGGCTTGCTGGTTGGTCTGACGTTATATTTATAACAAAGGCTTTTAACTACCGGTTCCAGCGGTATATATAAGGATTAACGGCATGTTCTTGTGAAAGCAACTGTTCAAATATATGCACTTTGAAAAAAATAAACTGTTTAAAAATTCGCAAAGTAATATGCGCATGATTTCGTGTCGATCGGTGAAATTATAGTAAATTTCTGATACACAGGAACATAAATACACATAATGTTTCAGTATACTAGCTGATGTAAAATAAAAGAACCGAAAATTATTATTTGTCAAGTTTAGATGAGGCGTACGTACGTATATACGTACGTAGTTATCGAAACCGAAAGTGCAAAACAAAATTAGTAAAGTTTATGTATATAGGGTTATATATAATTCGTAAAATAAATTTAAAAAATACATTTACTTAAAAATCGAAAGCTATACCTCTTGAGTTAAATTCTTCCGCATCTCCGTCGAAAGTTGACCCATCATATCCATCAATGGGCCTACAATGTTCTCTTGTACTTCCCGACTTCCAATGGATGCCATACTTATATACAGGAAATTTCCTAATAAGTAGGGTTATCTTCGGTATGTTGAGATATAAAAATAGAGTGTCACTGAAAGTAGATTCAGGAAAAAAATAACAAAACGGAATTAAATAATTCGAAGTTTCGTTTTAATTAAATAACCTCCTTATATATCAAATGTGTAATCACACTATGTATCTTCTTCCTCAATCATATCTCGCCCACTTAATTGATGAAAAATAACTAATAAAGCGGATTATAGAATGATCGAAATTGTAATTAATTTGATAATCACTGAAACAACATTCAGAATTATTGATACAGCTAATTTTCTAAAAAAGAAAAACAATATTTTATCTACTTTCGTTTTCGGTTTTAAAGTTTTTAATTGTCAATTTTGCTCTTTTGTTTTTACTCCAAACAATAAAAAATCTTTATTCATTTTTCTCTTCGTGTGTTCCATGTCATGATCTTTATAGAAATTTATCAAAGATAAAAAGAGATCTACCTTATTTTCTATTAGCCATTAATTCTGCTGTACATATCTGCTATAGGGTATTTCCATATTTAAATTTAGAATATCTAAATTTAGTTTTATTGATTACTGTCATGTGATAAAATGTGGACTTTCTATTTGCAAGTAAACATCGACTGATGATAATAACTGATATAAAATCTTAAATAATCGTAAATAGAAAAACTGATCAGTCAAGCTACTAAATATTTCTTTCAGCTCAGTGTCTAATTGATCTATAACATATACTAAAAACATTACAAAAGTTACTTCCCCTTTATATTGTACACCATTTGTTTGCTATATATTGATACAGATAAATATTTACATTTTGAAAGGTGTGTTGAAAGTAGTGAATGTTATAGTGTTATGCATGCTCGTATTAGACATTACAAATACTACAAGTTTGTTTTCTTTTTTCTCTGTTATTTTTGTCACGAACATTTGAAAATGGAGTTTAAAATTCAAATTAGCCAAGAAAACTGGAAAAAAGTGACTTTTCTTTTAGGCAATATAAAAGAGGTTTATTCACTTATAAATTTAAGCTTGTATGGATATTTGAAAGTGTGTAATGAATATTGTATCGGATGATGAATATCGATGATATATCAATATTGAGATATTTAAGGTGATTCCGCTTTGTCAGCCATGTTTGTTTTCACTAAAGTCTGTCCAAAGTGAAAGTAGGCCAAAATTCATATAACAACAAAGCTCTTAATATTGTAAAATGATGAACCATTTGAATGTACACTTCCAGGTTTATATTTTAAGGACAATTATAAACAAAAATAAAAATGATAACAATAAGAATATTTACCTTGAATGTGCTACATTTCTGAAGACCAAAAACATTCTGTTGCAAAGTTTTATGAACATTTCATGAATGACAGAATCCTTTTTAAAGCGGAATCACCATAATGACAGCACTATCGGGTACTGACCGGGAATTGAACCTTGGACCTCTTGACTTCAAGGGGGATACTCAACCACATTGCATAAATTAAGACAAGGTCTTTTAAATCAAACGCTAAGCAGGCACCTGAGTAGAACCAATAATGTTCCATAAGCTAGCTGGATAGTTTCCTCCAAAATCCCAGGCCTGCAGGATTCCAAATCTAAAATAATTAAACGAGCCTAAGGTTGTATGATTTTTTTACTTTTATTTTCAGATATATAATCTTGATGAAAGAAGACCAAAAATAATATGGAAGCATTTATTGAATGGTACCAGCATCTAGCCAGGATTGTAACATGGAGAGATTTTCTTGTAGTGATACTGGTTGCTATGGTAACCAGATGGTTGTATAGAACTTTTATCCAGCCATTTCTTTCACCATTAAGAAAGGTTCTTGATTTTCATTATATTATCACTCCAAAATTGGTACAATATTATATGTACATAATTATGTATATGAAAATATAAACCTACAGTTAATTAGATATATCAAAATTACTGAATGAGTGACATCTTCAGTAAATGTATGTATAGATGACTAAATTATTATTTGAATTTTGAAAAATAAGTATTCCAAAATACCTGCAAGAAAGAAATTTGCAAAAAAAGGTCAAAGGTTAACTTTGCAAATCAAAAAGATGTTTTTTGTTTGGCCAAATTAATCAAAACGTGATATCATTACTATCATCACCTTAGTGCAGTAACTGTTTAACTTCAGTAACAGGTTAAATCCTATTTCCTCATTTGATTTGCTTTTGATTTTTAAATATGTTCATATTAATTTCCTTTGTTCAGTTATGTACTAACACCTCTAAAATTTTAGCAGAAGTTAACCTGTTACTGCACTAGAATTATGATAGTAATGTCATAATGTCTTGACATCCCTATATAACTAACATTTTCTATTTAGTTACCTGGTCGACCATACAGACCTTTTGTTGGAAACATGTTTGAGGCTCTCAAAGGGGAGGCAATGACCACTGCAATAAGGTTTGCATTTTCATTGAAGATTTAATTATATCTATAAACATCACAGATGGCATAAATAATAACAGTTTAACTTTTCTTGCAATATGTCATTATGTGATTTTGATTCACACACTTGTTAACTATTGCCCTGCTGGCAGCAACTGTTTCTACCCAATGGACCAGTGCAGACCACCAAGATCAGTGGTAACATCCTTGCCCTCTGATCATGGTCTGCAATATTCACTATGGGTATTCAGTCAGTTGTTTTGAAAATTTCATTCGGTTTTGTTGATTCTGACTATCATAAGAGATTATGTAATATATGCAAGACAGATTGTTGTATTAATAAGAGATGGTATGTGAACAGTTAACCCCTGATTTTTTGGTGTGATGATGACTGTATTTACCTCTGAACACATGCCTCGTCTGTAATAACAAATACATAATTATATGTGTTGTTCTTGATGTAATGGTACATTATTTGACATAATCATGCATTGCATAACTTCAATCAAGTATGAGAATTTATATTTATTTCTTTTAAGTATGAGCCTCAGTTAGGGGCAAATGCTTCTACCTATGTGACCAGTGCAGACCATGTATAGCCAGCACATGCATGATGTCTGAGCATGGTCTACACTTTTCAATATAATTGTAGTCTTTCTTTAATTTAAACTTTCCCTTATATTGATGAATGGTTTAGTCCCTATAGAAATGTGGACTAGTCCATTTAAGATGTTAAGAAGTGAGATAACAGTTAATATTTGGATTTCAGATGGTTGCGAATGCATCATTGTCTGACAATACGTTACTATCATTTTGGAGGAAGGGAAAGAGTGCTGACTGCTGATCCAAAAGTTTTTCGTCATATCATGGTGACTCATGAAAAAAATTATAAAAGGGTCCCACCTCAGAGGTAAAAAAAAATCAATCCTTCAAACTGTGAATTTTAGTGATGATAATATTTTGCCTGTGCCATCACTTTAGTACCAGGCCAGCCTGTCTGCACATCAATGCAGTCCTACCAAGCTCTTAACTGATGGTCGCTTTTTCCTGGAGCTCTTAAAACACTGCTCACCTTAAAAACTTTACAGTGTTATTGTGACATATAACTGAACAGAATCATCTAAATATGTGACTGGTATTTGGGGTAAAGTTTCTTAGTCTTATTGACATGAATACTTGCAGAGGGTGGGGGATGACAAGTATGTTCAGCAAAATGTATTCTATTCATGTGATTTAAAGTCATTAACCTAAGATTCTTGCAATTTCTTCTTAGATCTTGCAACATTCACCCATATTTAAGTTATTAAACATACAAAATGGCTCTATTTGGTGTTTTATCATTTAAAGATCCTGTAACTCAAATCTTTTATGGTTTTATATAATAAATTTGATGCTCAAATGAAGATTTGTCAATATTGTAATTTCAAAAATGCATTATTTTTAAAGATAATACAGAATTTACATTTCATGTAAATAAAGGGAGGTGATTAAAAATGTATGGTCTATATAGTCTAAGCCAAATTTTTCAATAAGAAATGAATGAATGCATATATCATTTGCAGTACATATTTAACATATTCTTAGATGTTTGAAAATTGTTTAAGAAGAATAATTACATACAAATATAATATTTCACTAAAGTGTGGTAACATCCTTAATTACAACATACAGGATCTTTCATGATAATATGTTTTTCACTGCCATTTTCAGTCCAATACTGAAAATAATGGGACAGGCATTGTTCTTCCTTAGTGGAGATATTCATCATAGTGTGAGGAAATTACTTAATCCTGCTTTCAGTCTAAAGATGCTAGAAAGTAAGTATATTAGTTTTTACTATCACTCCTTTATCATTTAGTATTACTATACATGTATAAAATTATATATATGATATGTTCACTGAGGTTAAAAAACACAAAAACATAACATTAGGAACTCTAACATAGAAACTTGGAAACTGAAAAAGGGAAAAAAATGCAATAGATATGATCAAAATATTCTGAGAATTGAATTGAAAATCAATTTAAGTGTGATTCTTTGTTTGATTTGAGATAATAGCATTTATTTTTATAAAAAGTTCTAAAGATGGCAATAGTTTTAAAGTGTATAAAGCAATATATCTGATGCAAAAATTATTGTTTGGATTTTAAAAAAGAATACTTCCAAAAATGGTTGTATGAAATAAAAATGGCAAGAAATTGCCTTAAAGCAAGTGGTGTATGCACAAAGTCATTGCTTATTACATAAAACCCTACTTAAAATAGCAAAATAGTATTTTGTTCTGGAACATTTTATTCTGTTTACCTACATTATTCATGTGTGTTAAATAACAAACTTAAGACATTCCATGTTACTCTTTTTTGGGAATCAACCATATAATAATGGAACAAATATGACTTGACTGTAACAGTTGACAAAATTTTAATTAAAAAACAAAATTCACAAGAAATAGATTTATACCCTTTAATACATGTAATAAATGCTTTTCATTTTTCACTATAAATAGTGATTAATTGTGGAAAAACAGAGTGAGCAAATGATCTTAGATTTACACAAGTTTTTGATCCAATTTTAGATCATTATAAAAATAAAATCGTGAAAAAAAAATGATATCAGTCAGTCCTGTCATGTCAGAAAACCTAAGTTGAGTCACTTTTAAAAAAAGCAATTCCCGCTTGAGTTTGGTTGTAGACAAGTAACAGAACTGTTATTATTTTGCCTACCGGAAATATGCGTGTCCATATATCCTGAGTACTTTTCTGAAATAAATAACATAATAAAGTGATTTACCCTTTACTTGCTGGAACTGAAAGTGATTAGCCTTTGCCACCAGTATAGAGTCGGGTCACCCTGCACCTCCAGGCAAGTCTGTTCACACTCGGTACTGTTTTACTGAGTCAAAATGAGTGCGGTATATCAAGCTTTATACATCATAATAGATTTGACAAGCTTAACAGCATGTGCTTTTAAAGCCATTGATGACTGTTTTAGAACCGCTATTAACTATTTAAGTTTAAGCAATGTTATATGAAAAATAATTTATCTATATAGTACCATCGTCGGTTACCCACAACTTATATTCTGTACATACTAGTATGTATAGAATAAATACTGTTGGTAACCGACGAAAATCTAGTACATGTACAATATGTAGTAAGCCATAGCCATGGTATATCCTGGCTTCCACATGGAACAGCATTACCATGGTAAATGGTTCATTTATTTATTCATATAACAAATCACTTTGGGTATTGTCCATCTGATTTGATCTTTACACATCAATTTATAACTCATGGATTGTTGAACTGGAAAGATGTTTTATTTGTTAAGCGTTTTGTCACTCAACATATGCACCTTTACAGATATGATACCTGTATTTGAGACAAAGTCAAAGAAAGTTGTCACTCTATGGAAGGAGAAATTTGACCAAGCTTCCAGTGACACAGATTGGATAGAGTTCCCTGTCCAGGACTATATGACCAGAATTGTAAGATTTTATCAAGATAATTCTGTATGTTGCACACTTTAATTATCATGTTTTAGCTCACAGAATGATATTGACCTCAGATTTTGTGTTCATTTCTGATCATAACTTTGCTAATTTAAACCATTCAAGAGAGAACAGGTCAAGTTTCGACACTTAGGTTTTCAAGGCGAGTTCTTCTTAACAGGCTGGCATTTGTTATGATAAGACACAGATTTTTAATTGTATTTATTTAATGATTTGAAAATGGAATTTAATTATTATGTAGATAGCATCATGTACCTAACTTAAAACAAATCATACTCAATACCGTTGGCCTCTAAATTTTGATATTTCCATTGCATTCCCTTAAATTTAGAAAAGATAACTTCACACTAGTGTGAATACATGTAGTGTCCCAATGTTTTTTGTAATAACCTGTAAGTATATATACCTTTGTGTGATAGATGAGCACTTAATTTATACACAACTTTTTTAAGGTTCTAATCTGTTTAGTTTAAGGAATGAGCGTACAAGTTCTTGCTCAAGGATATAAGGGCGCTTGCACTTGAAGGGGTTCGAACCCATGCGGCTATTAATCATTAGATTACATATCCAACATGGTAATAAGTACTAGAAAACAATTTTAGAGAAATGACAAACACAGTTTATTTTTGTTTTTTTCAGGCTCTTGACAGCATTTGTTTCACAGGCCTTGATTTTGATTTAGATGCCATAGGTCAGCCTGATTCGTCAGGGGTGCAGATATTAAACAAATACCTTAGACAAGTTGGAGGTGCAAGGTATTATGTGTGTATTTTGATGTAATATACTCGCCACCTGTTGCCATTCGTCATTTTAAATTTTGGAGGATAGTGCAAGATACAGAAAGATGCCCCAATTCCAGAAGCTTCTTCTGGTTGTTTAGTGTGCAAAGTATTAAAGCACTAACATGCAGACCTCGATGTAAAGTCTCATCCAAAAGATTGATTAGTAATTGTAGTTGGCCAGCCCAGGTATTGAACCCACAATGTTGAGATTGCAAGTCTCGCGCTCTTACCGATTGAGCTACGCGGGCTGGCTTTGCATGGTCTTACCTACATGTATGCCACTGTTATAATATATAGTCAGGTCAGATTGCACATCACTGTGCAAGATAGTGTAGTCTGACCCGACTCTATACTGTTAGCTACTAAGTTTGAATATTTTGATAGTTTAAAAACCCTGAAACTATTTACTCTCACATCAAAATTCAGAGAAAGGCTTAAATTTAATATCACACATCAGTGCCTCTTTTTCAACTCTGTAAAAATGGTATGGAATGACAGTGCATGTATTTGATGTTAAGTAACGATAATACAAACATATTGCTAAAATACAGTGAGACTAAATGTCAGCATTACAGAATAAGACCGTCTATGAAAACACTATTCTTTTTTATGCTACCCAAAGTGATAACACTAGAGGTATCAACATGAAACTTTGTAGGTAGATAGATCTCAATGGGTAGAGCTGCAGTGGCCAAGAACCGTAACTGCCTTTCCAAAATATGGAGTTATTGCTCTTCAATATCATCCATATTTCATGTTTCACCCAGTTTCAAACTGTGTGATATGATTTTTTCTCACTGATATCTTTTCAATATTAGTATTTCTTCAGAAAAAGCAACATAAGGTTAAGCTTTTTGTACTACAATAGTTTAGTTTCAAACTTTTAAAATTGTTGAGTAAATACAAAAGAATGCTTGTTGTTCTTTTTTACTGTCAGTGTAATAGTATTTGATTAAACATTTATTTACAGTTTACTGGCATCTCTCATTCCATTTTACAACTCGTTGCCACTTCGTGTAAACAAGGAACGATGGAGGGAGGAAGCTTATATTAAATCTCTCATCAACTCTAGGATAAGTGATAAACGTCAACAGTATAAGGATTGTGATGAATCAGCAGGTAAGAAATCTTATACCAGTATTCATCTCACCTGAGCTGGCTTACTCTTTGATAGTACCAACCTTCTTATTTGAAGTATTTATATATTATTAAGTCAATGGAGATGTCAGGTGGAAATAAACTTATGATACATGATACTTTTTCTTGCATTTTTGAACCAATTACCAAACACGTGTGCAAAACATAACCCACAAGAGTAACAAAACTGTTTCAAAATAAAGATATTTTGTTCAAATTTGTCTCCCTTTATTGCTAGAAATACAATGTAGATGTATAACAGTTTGAACTCTGATTTATGCTTTGTATTATTGACACAGGATATCTCTAAATGCTTTATATAACCCCACATAGGCTGTCACTGTGTGCTTAATTTAACTGTTAGCTTGCTGGCAGCAACTTGTTCTACTACCCATGCAACCAGTGCAGACGAAGATCAGCCAGTATATCTGTGACATCTGACCATGGTCTACACTGTTTGCTATTCAGTCATTACAGAAAATTTTCTTACAAATAATGAATGGTCATGATCACATAGAAGTGCCAGATGATCTTTGTCTGCATTGCTCTGATGCATAAGTAGCTACTGTTGCTGTTTGCATGCTAAGTGTTAAAAAAGTTAATATCAAAGGACAAAAGTGAACAAAAAAAATCTGATCTTGCTGCTTGTTAAATGGTGTATTTATGAAGCCAGACACCTTTCTTTTGTCTCTTTTTCCACTACATGTATAAAATATTATATTAAGAGACCATTTATAATTCACAGTAAATGAAGCACGTGATTTTCTATCCCTCCTTGTATTGGCACGTGATGAAGAAGGAAGATCTATCCCAGATGACTTGGTGTTTGAAAATGTTGCAGGCTTGTTATTTGCAGGCTTTGATGTAAGTTGATTCTATCAATTGTATCAGAGGGTTTTAACTTGTTTATGACACTCTGTAAACTTGCTAGAAGTCAGTTACAAAATTGTTGTGTTCATTTTTATAAATTGAAAAAATTATAGCAAGCTTATTAATTTTGTGCCCCCCCCCCCCCCCCAAAAAAAAATTGAGGGGTTGGGGGCAGTGTTAGGTCATATAGATTTGCAAATTGGCTGTCTGTCCATCTGTTATGCTGTACACTTTATAGGTGGCTATGAGACCCATATGTAACTGTTAATTTGAAGTTTTTCATTCAGTAAAGTTAATGGTATATGGGTGTATTGATAAACTTTCATTCTACTTGTAAGCTTTTTGTCCAATCCTTAAATGCCGTTAACTACTGTATTCATGCTATGTAAAGTTTATTTATAAGATTTGTTTAAACTAGATCACAACATTATACAAGCCACAGGGTAAATAAATTTGTCTGAAGTTAAAAAGAAAATTGAGTTGTCATATAGAAATAGAATTGATATCCATGAATTTCAAATATCTTGTCTGAATGTAATTAAAATTACAAATATATTAAAGGTTTAAATGTCATATGTTTCAATAACTTTTTAAAATTGTGGTTCAGAATTGTCTGTGATATTAAAACATTTAAATTTTTTATATACTTTAATTTCTAAAATAGAATTTATGAGTTTTAAGATGGTAGGTTATACCTCTTAAATGAAATTAATAAGTTTATTTCATTTCTTAATTTGTTAGGAATATTAACCTAATAGAATAGTGTTATTACATTGGTAAATAGTAATAAGCAGCTGCGTGCAATTTCTATTACATTTCCTGAGATATTTCAACAAAGTATTCACAAAATGGTGGTCACCAATAATAATTGACTTGATGCATATTATCAGTACCATTATAGAAATATTGTTGTGAATGTTAAGTTCTGTATTTCAGTCAATATCATGTATTTATTTATACATACCTGTGTGTCGCTTTTGCCACTCCATAAATATGGTATTGCACGGCATAAAGACATGTCAAATATTAGCATCACACTATGAGCATGTCAATAAAAATGATTCAGTTTCTAATTTTGCTCTGAACAGTTCTCTTTTGGACATGTGATAAAGCTTTATTCGTCAAGCTCCATTGAATAAAATAATATTATAGTATTGAACCTATCACTCAATCAAATACGATGTTTTCAAAGTCTTCACAAGGATCTGAAACATAATACTTATTTTAAAGTCTTACCCTACTGCAAAGTGTTAAATTTTACCACCAATATAGATCCTTATCATACAGCGGGGATATGTTGGCAGATTTATTTTAAATTTTCATATTGACCCCCCTTAAAAATAGATAAATGGATAGTCTCATTAATAAAAGCTGGAAAAGTAGATTCAGCAAGTTAAGGGTAAATAGTCCATGCTGTGGCATTAATTAATCTCATTTGAGTGGCAGCATGGCAATGTGGCTAACACGCTGGGCTAGTATTTTAAGAATTTCTGGTAACGTGGATTCAAACCCATCGGGGGCAAGCCATTGTTTCTGTGAGCAAGGAACTTTACACGCATTGCTTAGTATTGGTTGTTAATGGAACGGATTCGAGAATGTTTCAATAAGCATATAGCTTCCAGCACAATCAAACTAAAACAAAGTATTATAAACCAATTAATCTCGGAATTCATTTCAGACTACAAGCATCACCCTGACATGGACCATGTTGCACCTGGCCAGCTACCCAGAGGTTCAGGAGCATGCAAGGAAGGAGGTTCAGGGCGTGATCCCGAATAACTGTGATAATATCACGCATGATATGCTGGATCAGTTACAGTATTTACATTGTGTGATCAAAGAAACACAAAGGTAGCATATCAATTGTTAGAAATTAGCATTATTTAACAATATTAACATTTAATTTACAGAATATTTAATTGCCATTTAACTGAAAGAAAACCTTAATCCCAATGATTTAATTGAAAAAAAAAACTTTAAAGTAATTATATAATACATTTGTAGATGTACATTCTTGAATTGTAGCATTACCAGCATATAATGAATAAATAACATATACATATCAAAGAAAGATAATAATTTTCTACATTGACTTACATTTACCACACTAAGTGTTGTGCATTGACTTACCCAGTACATGTATACACAATGGACAAAATTCGAGGTAAAAATTCGAAATGTAGAGTAACTGAATAACAGTGTAGAGCATGCTCAGATGTAGCATATATCTGACTGATCTTGGTCTGCAATCGTTGCATAGGTAGAAACTGTTGCTGCCAGCTGGCTAAAAGTCAATAGCTTACAAAATGAAATATGTTTAATTATTTCCTTGTGTATTGTAATATACAGATTATATCCAGTTGTGTCCAACACTACAAGAGAGGCACTATCAGATGATGTAATAAATGGTCTACATATCCCTGCTGGTACAAAGGTGGTGCTTCATCTGGGTGCTCTACATAGGTTAATATACCTTGTTTATTTTTTCTGATTTCCTACCCTGTACAATGTACTTACAGAGTTATTATAATGTATACACCTGGAAACCCTGGAAATTTAAAATTGGTTGTGATTGAAAGCACTGGACATGAGATGAAAACTTAATTGAGCTAAGAAATAGTAATTTGATAAGTAGCAATACCAATTTAATAAATTTATGACTTTAGTTTATTCTTAACCAAATTATTGAAACATTTTAAGCAAATGTGTTGTTTTTTACCGAAAAATGTAAGTGTTTATAAGTATGGTATTGGAGCGTTGACATTTATTTACTGGTGGATATTTGTGGTAAATGTTGGCGATTATGTTACTTAAAATGCCTTTATGTAGCCAAAATTTTTAAAAATGTGTGTAACCACCATGTGCTCGCATGATAGCCACATTTTGATTTGACACAGTAATAACAAATATTAAGGTATATATATAATTCTCATATCGAAATACAAATGTTTTTGCTGCCACCAGTATAGAGTCTGGTCAGACTTCACATATGTGCATGTTGGCCTGGCTCTATACTGCTGGCAAAGGGTAATTACTTCAAGGGTTAAGTATATGTAAATAATTGGTTTAAGATAGCTGCTATATACCGGTATTATTCATAGGAAAAAAAAACTATTTCAACAGCCTGCAATATGCTATTATAATAAGGTGTACTGCTTACATTATTGTATATGAAAACTTGCAAAATAATGTATAAAGTGGAGATGATGTACAGTGGCTTCTAGTATATTTCATACAAAAACTAGTATAATTATACATTTTTATCATTCCAAAACCAAATCACTATGCTCTTTAAAAAGAATCCTTTGGGAATCAGTGGCCTATTGGCTAAGACCCATGCCTTATAACTTAAAAGTCATGTGATTTGGTCTGACTGGAGTCACAATCTTGCTTCCTCAAATAATATTTTGAGTTTTTTTCGGCAGCATTATTTTTTACACAAAAAAAGTATAATAATTGTTTTTACATCAATATACTGTATTATTCCTGGGTATCAGTATCAGATATTTCTAACCTCTGTTAATTAAGGTCCCTGGTTGCATGAAACAATTATGAAATTGGTTCAAATAAACAATAACAATATATAATAGCTTTCATAACAATCAAACTTAAAGGGACTCCACTGAGGTTTTTTGACATGATTGGACTGAAAATATTTTTTCCAGATGAAAGTACCATTTGATGAAGGTGTAGAACACTAATCTTTGTGCAAAATTTCAGATCATTCGCGCACTTCGTTTTTCCAGAATAATTATTCCAATTGTAAAAAATGGCCCTAATTGAAAAGCGTTTAAACGCTTTTCACTCAAATCAGGCAAAGGAAAGCATAGAAATACGATTTTCAATTTATTACAAAGTATATTTTTTTAACTATCTTTGCATATATTTCTGTTTAAAGTGTCCCAGCTGAATTATGTAAGAATTCAAATGTTATGTTTTTAGGCTTTTAAAACTCAGTGGAGCCCTTTAAATAAATAATGCTTAAATCTAAATGAGAATTTTGTTTCTAGCATGTACTCCTTGTAGCTTTCAGACATGTTTTGCTTCTATTTAGTTTCTAATACATATAATGGAAGTCTCTTAAACAAATGCAGTAGAGAAAGGTTCATATCAAGTCACTGTAATTGTCCAATTGCTGATATTTCACCTCATTTTTCAAAAAGGTATATTAGATAACAATTAACTTTTTTTACCTTTTAAACATACAGTGTAACGTCTGCAGAACGCCCTCCTGTAGGGCAACAACCAAAATCTTTAGACCCCCATATGGTGTTGCGGAGTTTATACTGTACATTGAAATATTTAATATACTTACAGGATGGAAGAGAATTGGGAAAATCCTGAGAAATTTCTCCCAGAACGTTTCATGGAGGACACGGAACCGTACAAACACTTGCCATTTATTGCTGGGCCACACATGTGTATAGGGCACAAGTTTGCTATGCTTGAGATGAAGATGGTGTTGTCAAGTCTACTGAGAGAGTTTGAATTCAGTCTTGTACCAAATTACAAGTTTAAAAGAATTCAAGCATTGAGTGTGAAACCAAAGCCTCCACTTGTTCTAAATGTAAGAAGAATACAAAATTGATAGGGAGAAATATGTTTGCTGTGTGTCTGATATTATAATACGTGATTAATTTATATATATTAACAATTTTATAATATATTTTTGTATTTTGTTTTTAATACTTTTTTATTGCACCAATGAATATAAACATGGATATTATAGTATGTACAGTTGAGGGTTAAATAATGAATAAATGTTATGAGAAGTAATGGATTATACTGATGTGTTTATTGGTTAATTTGTGATTTGTAATTTACATTTCTAAACTCACTGCTGTGGGTTCGAATCTCGACAGGGTCTTTGGATTCTTTCATGAGCTATCCAGCTAGCTTACGCAACGTCGGTGGTTCTACTCAGGTGCCTGTATGTGCCTGAAATAATGCACGAAAGGGCACCTGACATCTTCCTCCACCAGTCAAGCTGGAACGTCGCCATATATCCTATACTATGTCGGTGTGACGTAAAACCCAAACAAACAGTCCTAAACTCTTTTTAAAAAGAATGTATAAACGTATTATTATCCTGGTACAATTTTAACTAATGCTTTCAATTGATGACAGGATACTGAAATGAATCATCTACTTTTGGTTGCCAAATATTTGTCGTTTTTATACGCCAAAAAATATAATATTATGCACCTGGTTGTCCCGCCATCTGTTAGCAGTTTCTGTGTCCTGTCTGAAATTTTTTAACCTGTGCGAGGAAATTGAAACTACTTGATAGAAATAAAATCATAATGAGATGATGTGCAGCGTGCTGGTTTGACCTTTCTCAGGTCAAGGTCACAATCATTTTATATCAATTCAAACTTTTGTGTCCCCCACTGTATTTTTGAACCGATAGAAAGACATATATTAAATACTTTTTAGCAGAAATAATAATTATAAAGAGACGGTGTGCAGAACATAGGCTTCGGCTTCCTAAGATCAAAATTGGCCTTTCCCTGGGGATTACTTAATATATAAAGACTTGTTTAAGAAATTAGACAACGCATTTCAGTTTCATTGTGTGAAACTACAATGTATATACCTTAGATAGTTAGCATGCATGTACCATTGCCTTATTGACCTTAACAAAACTGATATGAATAATACCCCTTGGTTCAATATTGGTCACTTGATTTATATTGACTTTTATAGGAAAAACACACCTGAAACTACGATGCCCAGAGTTTATATATTTGGCACGTTAATCTAATAATTGGTGGTAATCATGACCCTTGGGTCAATATTTGCCCAGCCAGGGAGTATATTAATTAAAATATTTGTTAAGGAAAACAAATTTAAGTCTTATTTTAGTGAAACTACAATGCCTAGAGTTAGATATTTGGCATGAAGCATTACCTTGTTGGCCTCTACCTTTTGTTCGGGAGGGCTTTTGTCCTACACTCGAATCTAATAGGTGTCAAGATAATACTTTCTGCTTATTGGAAGATACTTACATTTTGAAGGTTTTACAATCACAAGTATAATATTCCTTCACAACTTGTGCAATTTCTGGATTTTGGAAATAAACTTGAATTTACAGAACCTAAATTTTACCAGAAAATTGTTCAGAATTTAGAAGTTCCGTATGTCAGACGGTTTAATACACAAAAAGATGTCCATATACGGTTTAGTGCATATATTGATATCCTAATACGGTTTAGTGCACAAAATGATCTCATAATACGGTTTAGTGCACAAAATGATCTCATAATATGGTTTAGTGCACGAAATGATCTCATGATATGGTTTAGTGCTCAGGGGTTAGTATCTCGAAGCTATCGTTCTATTTGCGTTTACGAACGTGCTAACGATTGACGGAGGGTTGGTTAACGAGAGACTACCGTGGGTATCTCGAAAGCAGTAGTTAAGCAATCGTTAGTTGCTTACTCGTTAGTTATTAACGATTGCGTTGTGTTATCATTTGAAAACATGTACCCGAAAATTTTGTACAGCTCTTGTTTATATTCACCGAATCATTATTTTGCGTAGACGACGGTGAATATAAGGTTACGATCATGCTAAACCGGAACACAATCACACGACACGTGCAGGATACGCCGGTCTGTCGTCTAGCAATATAGACTTGTTTTGCGATGAAAATCCCGATTGCCTTGATAATATCAATTGTGATAGTGGTAAACCTACGAAAACGGTTCCTTTAAAAAAAGAGAACAGTCATTGGAACTGCCCCCTGTTGAAAGTTCCAATGAAACGGGAGTGATTTCTAATTGAGGGGCGGGCGGGAACTTAACATAAAAACTCCAAAAAGACGACTGTATATAGAACCGCAGAGATTGAAGATTTAGCAGCAGAGGCTGCCAGTGTAGTCAGATATTTTAAACTCTTTACATAGTTAAAACCAATATTCTGGCGGAGCTTCTTCTCAATACCAGTAAAAACATCTGGGGACAGATAACCATCCCTCATTCTTCAGGCTATAGCAACATGTTGTTTTAGGGTGTAAGTATACTGTCAATATTCAAATTTGAAAATGTTGCTTTTCATTGTTGCTTTCCGTTTGAGTGAAATATGGACTATATTTTCACGAAACATAATGAAATTTTACCTTTTAGACAAACATATGTACAGCAATTCTTTCTAAAATCCCACTTGCTACACAGCTGCAAAGACGTCATGCGCCTAACAATGACGACATGAGCAAAACAGTTACTTCATAAGCATAAATATATATGAAATATGTAAAGTCGATTATCAATGGATAATCATGACGTTTATATTATTACTTATAAAGAATTTTGACAGGTAATATTGCCGACTGTTTGGAAATTAACCCGAGCCGCTAGGCGATGGTTATATTGCCATTGCCTATAACCATTTAACACGTCAGGAATATTTATAACGAATTTATAAAACCGCGAACTTCCCTTTTTTGAGAAAAAAGTGAGATTTCTTAGAAAATTGCCAGAAACAGTGTATATAAAACTATAAAAATGTCACGATTCTCCAATGAAAAGTTACGTGACAAACGTGCAGTATTATAAAATCTTTGATAATACTGCACGTTTGTTACTGCAAGTTTGGAACGTCAATTTTAATTGGCGTTTATATAGTTTATATACACAGCTGCTGTCAATTTATCAAGAAATCTCCCTTTTTCTGCAGTATTGTAAATTCGTTATAAAGATTTTTAACAGGATATATGGCCGATATAATTTTGTTTCCAATATAACTCTCACTTGGCGGCTCGGGTTATCGTTTATATACGGCCATATATCCTATCAAAAATCTGTATTATTAAATATATACATGGCTGCTGTTAATTAATATGGATACATTTTCATTTTGTTTTAAACAAAGGATGTTTGCTGTATTATAAATTAAAATTTACGAGTTAAATTATAACAACTGGTGTTCGGAAGTGAAATATATGTTAATATAAAATGATAAACAAACAACATTTCTATATATTACATGCCTTTTTGTGGTACCGATTTTTGCAGCTGACGTAATGCACTTTTCTTCATGATGAAATTAATTATACGTCACAGTTTACTTTTTGAAATACATGTATAATTTTGTAACTAGTTTCAATTTTGTCGAATTTTCAGCATGATGTATGCATATATTTATTTATGTTTTCTTGTGACGGAGATTATTCATTTCGGTGTTTAAGTTATAATATGTTTTTTTTCATCCGCATTCAAATATAAGTCTTAAATTAAAATGCAAAGAACCTTTACATATGTTTGATATGTGAGAAACATTTTGTTTGTTTGGATTTTTACGGGTCGTCAACACATAACTGGCCATATCGTGTCGAATGCTATAATAGGCTTAAAATGTTATGTAAAACTTTGTAAATGACAATAAAAATGAGCCAATTAGATCCAAGAATACAAGTTTATCTCAAATAATCAATGATATTTTGTATGGAATTGTATTAAAGAGTTCTTTGAGTGAATGAACACAATAAAATCTTTTACGGGCCTGTGAAAATTCATGAGAAAAAGAAAAACAATAGATCTACTATATTTATGTCGGTTCATCATTTTTTATCAATAAAATGATATAATTCTCATTTTTTATGAACTTTAAAATCGCACCTTTCTTACTTTTGTGTCAAAATGATAGTAACGAGAGCCTTACGACAGCCTCTAGGCATCTGTTAATAATTGGGCATGTTAACGATTATTCGTTAATTACGAGAGCGTCGAGATAGCGGTGAAAACCTTAACGAGAGGTATACGATAGTCGTTATGCTAACGATAGCTTCCAGATACTAGCCAGAATGATTCATAAGATGGTTTAGTGCTAAAATGATGTAATTATACGTTTTAGTTCACCAAATGATGTCCCAATACGGTTTAGTACATATAATGATGTCCTAATACGGTTTGTGCACAAACTGATCTCATAATACAGTTTAGTGAAGAAAATGATATCATAATACGGTTTAGTGCACAAACTGATATATCATAATAAGATTTTGTGCATATGATGATCATTTCCTAGAATTTCTGTCAATAAGTAACAAATTTTCTGCATTAGACACTTAGTTACACAACATCTAGTTACAAAATGTATGTGCACAAGATGCTTGATAAAAATTGCCTTCAAATGACAATTAGAAACATAAATTGCGATAGACAATAAATAATACAGTATGTGGACAATTCAATAATAAGTGCACATTATCGTCAATTACATGTAGTAATAAAATTCCATAAAATCCACACTGAATGATATATAAGTAACAAATCAAAACCTAACATCTGAACTAGGCAATTGCGAGATCTTTGTTTTCTCAGATATATCACGGAAAGAACAGAGGCCGCGCCTGTATCATATAAATATGTATTAATTTTTTCAACGATGCGTTTGAAGCACAGAAAGATGACGTCTAATTATCCACGCATGAATTTTTATCTTCAATAAAACATAACCTATTTGCTGTCATATTGAATATCTATAATCCCTTTTAAAGATCTATTATCTTTTTTTAATTCATATTTGTGACAGAGGAGAAAGGAGCAGGTAAGATTTTTGCAATATTCCTAAATGTTTAATATCTTTGTAACAATTTGTTACATTAATCACATACCGTGCCGATTTTACTCCCTAAAAATGGTATTGCACGGCTGTGCATATAGTTAGCAAATTTACATATTTAGGAATTGTTTTCACATCAGGGGGATCTTTTGCAGAAGCTCAAAATAGCATTGCTGGACAAGCGATAAAAGTAACATTTAAAATGAACAAAACCTATAT